TTGTCCAATTTATTCGTAAAGCCTAAAATTTTTGTTTACTAAAGTTGTGACCTTGTTTTAATCGTTTTGTTTACGCCATTTTATAATTATTGTACTGTTTGTCGTACTTTAGTTTATTAGTGTATTACTATAACGTAAATTAAGTGTAGTTGTGAATTGTAGAGATGAAACTGAAGTTCCATATACACGTGTATAAATGACATTTAAAACATAAAAAATTAAATACTTATTGTAATAAATTAATATAATTTTTTATTTTGATTGTCCTAAGAAAATTTTCTCCAACTTTATCATTATCGAACAAATCGTTCCACAAAATCATTAGGTCGATTACGTATTGAATTTATTATTTCTTGAATTGGTTTGATCCATTGACCTTACGATTTAACCGCCTTTGCATATTTTCTAATCCGTATTCGGGAATCATACGTTCGTGTATTATTATTTATTACAATGTTTTTCGCCAAAATAATCGAACAAAGACATAAAACTATCAGTAAGAAAAAATATAGATTCAAGGTAACCATTGGAGTTTACCTTTAAATAAAGAATTGGTTGGATACGAGCGTAATTCTATTTATACTCCGCATTATTAATTCTACAGCTAATACATTTACGATGTAAATCTTTCTGGAGGTTGTCAAACACGAGTTGGAACTAATTTTATTCAGAAAATAGTCTAGCTTTGGCCTGCGACTTTGTCCATATGGAATTAATAAAAGGAGTAATTATATATTATCCCTCAGTATAATTTATTACTATTCCAAATTACATTTAGATTCTTAAAATAAAAAAAAAACTTATAATATTATTTTAAAAGATGCACGATGCGATCGAATTATCATTTTTTTTTCTATTTATAACAACTGGACAAACTTGTAACATTTGTATTTTTTGTTATGATCTTGAGTCGACCTTCTCCAGAACATAGGATCGTAAAATATAAATATACTGTCAATTGAGGCATTAAGATGTTCATAATTAACTTGAATCAATTGTTTCACTTAACGTTGATTACGTAAAGGCGCTAAAAGGACATAATTGTGTTTTTAATGCTTTTTCTTACTAATTTTAATATTCCTAGTGTTTCCGCGTCATTGACATTCACTTAATC